ATGGACTTCAACTCCCAGCATTCCCCAGCCAGCAGGGCTGGCTGGGGAATGCTGGGAGTTGAAGTCCATACATCTTAAAGTGGCCGAGGTTGAGCAACACTGGCCTAAGGAATGACCCCCACTCTGTTTGCTTGTCTCCCAACTGTTTGCTCTTCCCACCCTCTTGCAGGCTTCTCCATTGAGGGCCCCTCGCAGGCCAAGATCGAGTGTGACGACAAAGGAGATGGTTCGTGCGACGTGCGTTACTGGCCCACCGAACCTGGCGAGTATGCCGTGCATGTGATTTGCGACGACGAGGACATCAAGGACAGCCCGTTTATTGCCCACATCCTGCCGGCCACCAACGAGTACTTCCCAGAGAAGGTAACCCTTTCCTAGCTCCTAGCTCCTGAGATGTCTGTGGATCCATCAGGATCGCATCTTCTGGAATCCTCCTTCCCTGGAGAACCAGCCCCGGGAAGGACTTGCAGAATCCCAGCAGAGACATCCTGGAGGTGGTGGTCCAAGCGTTCCGGGGCTGGGCTCACTCTTCTCCCAATTCCATCGCTTCCAGGTGAAAGCTTTTGGTCCTGGCCTGGAGCCTGTTGGCTGCATTGTGAACAAACCGGCGGAATTCACCATCGATGCCCGAGGAGCCGGGAAAGCAGAACTCAAGATCTATGCACAGGTAGGTGGGTGATGGGTCAAAAATGGCATGCCTTTAAACTCTTCTTCATGCTTGGAGAAGGGAGCCCAGGAGCAGTCACCGACGCCCTGCCTTTATCTGATGGCACTGGAACCTGAGCAATGAAGCAACTTCTGCTTAGGAGCCCCAGGATTGGCCCAAGAACATCCTTGGCCAGCCAAGAGTAACTTAGGAGTTGTTTTTTACCGGAAGTATTTTTCTTCCTAGGATGCAGAAGGCGTCCCCATTGACATCAAAGTCAAGGACAATGGCAACGGTACTTTCTCCTGTGTCTATGTCCCCACCAAGGCCATCAAGCACACCATCATCATCAGCTGGGGAGGCGTCAACATCCCCAAGAGTCCATTCCGAGTGAGTGACTTAGGGGTGGAGGGGTGTGCTTGTGCGCACAACCAGTCCTTGGCCGTCTTCTGTTGATGGCCCTTTGGGGGGCAGGGAGAGGTGTAAACCAATGCATGGACAGGTAGGAGATCCCTGGCCAATCTCCTGCTGAAGCTTAGAGGTGGGAAGGTCTCTGTCCAAGCTTGTAAAGGCAATCAACCGATCCAGCTTCCTCTCGCCATCACACTCATCTGGCGTAGTCCCTCCCCAAACTTGGATGAGGGTGATATAGTTCAACACAGCTTAAGGGCAACCAGGACAAGCTGAGCAGAATTGGAGGCAGTAGGAACCGAGATGGAGACCCTGCCTCAGAACAAGGGGTCTCTGACTAGCCGTCCTGATTGATAGGCCTTAGTGGACCTGACCCAACTTTTATAAATTGGTTGGATCTCCTTAAAAGCCACCCAGGCCACTATCCTTAGTGGTAATGAGTTCCATAGGTTAATGATGTACCAGGATGCTTTAATTCAGATTCCTGAGCTGAACCTCAATGGCTCTTTCCAGTCTGTTATGATTCCACAATTCTACTTTCCTCCCCTTGCTCTGGAAAAACCCTTTGCTTTTCATAAGCCCATCTGCCTTTCTTCCTCCTCACAGGTGACTGTTGGAGAAGGCAGCCATCCAGATAAAGTCAAGGTGTATGGTCCTGGAGTGGAGAAAACAGGGCTGAAGGCCAACGAACCCACATACTTCACGGTGGACTGCAGTGAGGCTGGGCAAGGTGAGCCCCAAATCTGAGATCCAGTGGGAGGGTATGAGTTAAAGCTAACTGCAAAAGCTATTGGGTTGAACCAGCTCCCAAGGTGCCCTTTCTGGAGAAGGCATCCCACCTTTGGCCTTTCCATGGGTTGGGGGGTTCCCACAATGCCCCTGACTTTTGATCCTTCACCCAAAAGTCCTGCCAAGGCAAGAGGTCTTGCTGGATTCTGGTGGGTTTATAGGAAGACACTGACTTTGTGCGCCCTTCCAGATTTGTCTGACTAAATTTCCTATCATCCCCAGCCAGTAATCTGGAGGCTACTCAGTTGGGGAAGCCTAACTTGTCTGCCTTCCATCCCTTCTGAGGAGCTCTTGGCTCCATCAGCAAGGCTTTCATGGAGGATTCAAACGGGTCTAGGATGCAAGCGGATATTGGCTTATCCATAACATTGTCAGGGAAGCTCATCCTGTTGGGTGCACACCCTGAAAAAAGATGCTGAGCTTGGGAGAGGGATGACCAAGTTGGAGCTGGCCCCCTCATCCCCAAACTCCAGACCCTTAATCTGCTTTCTACCAACATCTTCCATGTTTGCTTTTCAGGAGACGTGAGCATTGGCATCAAATGTGCACCTGGCGTGGTGGGTCCTGTGGAGGCTGACATTGATTTTGACATCATCAAGAATGACAATGACACCTTCACTGTGAAATACACCCCCCCAGGCCCCGGGCGTTACACCATCATGGTGCTGTTCGCCAGCCAGGTAAGGCACAGGGAGCAATGGGGCTGCCCAGTCTCAGAGCCCCTCTGTAGCCAGATATGGGTGCAAGTCAGGATGTGGTCTGGATCAGAACCTTTTGGCCCTTTTTCCTGCTCAGCTGATTGACAGTTCCTGTTTTGCTTCTCCATCCCCAAGGTGCATGACTTCACAGGAGAGGGAGAGTTTTAGGGCTCTGGCAGGGAGAGAGTAGGCTCCATTCAGCCATCACTCCATCCAAAGGGTCTGTCTGGCTTTTGGCCAAGAACAATTCCTCACCAAGGGATAAGGGGAAAAGGGGAGGGAAAGAACAGTACACATGGTGTAATCAATCTTTTATTTGCCACCTGGGTGTAAAGGGAAGAAGGAAGAACCTTGAAGAACAGGAGGAAGAGCTGCAACCAAGACCACAGTCAGATAAAAGAAACTTGAGTCCGGGCCAGAACTGTAATCTGAGTAAACTTCTCAAACAAAACCTTCTCTAGTTCTCATGATGATAAAGGGAGGGAGGGGGGAAGCACGTTCAGGCTTGCAAGATTCTGTTTCTGTAACCTTATAATGAAAGTGGTTTTAGCATTCATGACTTTGGTGTTCAAGTCTGGTCTACATTCAAAGGGCTGACATCAATCTTGCAAGTCTGAATGCGCCTCCCCCCCTTTATCATCATGAGAACTAGGGAGGGTCTTGTCTAAGATGCTTTCTCAGGTTTCAGTTCTGGCCCGGACTCAGGTTTCTTTTATCTGTCTGTTGTCTGGGTTGCAGCTCTTCCTCCTGTTCCTCAAGGCCATTCCTTCTTCCCATTACATCGGGCCATTCTGAAACTGAGCGTAGAGGGACACAAGTCCCAATTCCTCATGACATCTTTCAAGATAAGAAGCCCCTCCAGGCAAACAGGGGCATCCATGGGGAGGGGGGACAAAAAAGTGTAAAAGGGGTGGGGCTCTCTTCACAGGTTTGTACCTCCCTCTTGGCTTCTTTTTACCCTCTGCACACCCTCCTGGTCCCACCAGGTGTTTATTTTAGAGCTGCAGCCAGGGAAAGGAAGCCAATGAGCCAAGGGGTAGGGTAAGCATTTGCCCGTCCAGGTACCCTCTTTCCTGATTCCTCTGTTCTCCTGGGCCCCTGCAGGAAATCCCGATAAGCCCCTTCCACATCAAGGTGGATCCTTCCCACGACGCCAGCAAAGTGAAGGCCGAAGGTCCTGGCCTCAATCGGACAGGTGAGTTCCCTGAAAGTGGAGGTGCGGGGAGGAAATTGTGCCCTTCCTCTTCCAAAGAGGGGGCAAGTTTTAGCTCTGGGGAAAAACCGAGGCCCTTCCCAGAAGGGGTTTCTCCACAGCTCAGATTGCAGCTTCCAGAGGTGAATGGGGGTCTCCAGCAGGGAACGGATTGCACAAAGCAGCCCCTCCAAGCTGGGTCCCCTGGTGATGTGGCCTCCACGGTTGGACCCTGGTGAGTCAGGGAAGTGCGAAAGGCTGATCCCTGTTCTTGGCGTTTCCTCCCCAGGTGTGGAGGTCGGGAAGCCCACTCACTTCACTGTGTTCACCAAGGGAGCTGGCAAAGCCAAGCTGGATGTCCACTTTGCTGGGGCCGCCAAGGGAGAGGTGGTGCGTGACTTTGAGATCATCGACAACCATGACTACTCCTACACGGTCAAATACACAGCTGTGCAGCAGGTGAGTGAGGATCTGCTACGCTCTTCCTCCCTTCTGGTGGCCTCCAGGATGGTCATCCAGCCACAGGGCTGCGATTTCCTAGGTCTCCTTCCTAGGAACTTCCTGACTGTGCATGCCATCAGCCAGTGGAACAGGCTGCCACGTGAAGTCAAGAGGTCTCCTTTGCTGGAGGCCTTCAGACCAAGGCTGGACGGTCAGATGCTCTAGTGGACCTTGCATCGAGCAGCGGGTGGGACAGGATGAAGCCTACAATTGCCCCTGTGATTCCCTGACCTGCATATATTTTATGCATAACCTTACGAGATGTATTCCTGTCCCCGCTAACCAGGGTAACATGGCAGTGACCGTGACCTACGGCGGTGATCCTATCCCCAAGAGCCCCTTCCCAGTGAATGTGGCTCCTCCTCTCGACCTCGGCAAGGTCAAAGTGCAAGGACTCAACAACAGTGAGTTTGGCCATGGGTCTACTTGTGGGCTCAAATGAGTTAAAAGGGTTGCTAGAATTGTAGTGGTGGGTTGTGCTCCATGGGGTCTGGATAGCCAGTCTTCCAGAGCACGTTAAATACTTTTGTACCTTTATTTTCCAAAAAGAGGTAGAGCTTTAGGCTCCTCCTCCAGACTCCTCCCCTTTCCCACCTATCCGACCTGCCACGCAAGATCCATTCAGAAAAGCAGGAGAGGTCTTTGAATAGTTACATTTGTTTAACTCTCCGCTTCCACCCTCTCTCTCATCCTTGCGCAGAGGTCGATGTGGGTCGTGACCAAGAATTTACGGTCAACACGCGGGGAGCAGGCGGCCAGGGCCAGATGGACGTGAAGATCAGTTCGCCCTCCCGTCGGCCCATTCCTTGCAAGGTGGAGACGGGGGCCACCAACGACATCCACTCGGTGAAGTACATGCCGCCTGAAGAGGGCCAGTATAAGGTGGACATCACGTATGATGGGAATCCTGTGCCAGGAAGCCCCTTTGCTGTGGAGGCGGTCATGCCCCCTGACCCGTCCAAGGTCAGCCCCAGCCTGATGCGCAGCACTGCACGCTATCTGGTGGGGGTGGTGAAATTGCCCTGGGGGTATGAATTGGGTTAGGGTAAGGAAGCCCCCTCTGGTCCCCTCCAGCTGCTTCAGTGGCTGCACGTCCAAAGTCTTGCTCACTGGGGAGGACCTGGGCTCAGTGGTTTAGCACATGGGCTGGGTTCACACAACATGCTTAGCCTGATTGCTAAATTCACCCATTTCCTGGATTGGCTTAATGTAGGAAACCTTAAACGAGCCACCTGGCTGGGTTTGCACAAAAAGCTACCAAAAACACAAACCATGTTAACACCAAGCAAGCTTTGCAGCTTGTGAAAATGCACCTCTTGGTCTTTACCTGGCTAAGCACATGGTGTGAACATAGTCTTACTTCCCCCCCACCCCCCCCAAATATCTAGCACCTCCAGGCAGGTCTGGAAAAGGCCCTGGTCCAAATTCTGGGGAGACTGCCTGCTTTGAAAAGACTCGGTAACTTGGTGTTGTCACTCTCAGCCAGCGGGGTCCATGTTGGCTGGGGGGGATGGGAGCTGTAGGATAACATATAAGAGAGGCTGGTAGGAGGGGACGAGCCAGATGAAAGCGCAGTTGGGGTCAACATAAGCACTCTTCCTGTGACCCACAAGTATGAAGTTGGATGCTGCTCCTGGAGCATCTTCCTTCAGTTAGTAGCTTGGGCTTCCTAAGCCATCGGCTGAGTCATCTTGCGATAGCTGGCCAGGGTGGCAAGGAGGCTTCCCTGAGAGTAATGCAGTGGGAGAGCCTATGGTGGTGCTCCAGGCCTCCTCCCTTGCTTCTCCTGTTAAATCAGGGTTTCTCAACCTTGGCAATTTTAAGATGTGTGGAGTTCAACTCCCAGAATTCCCCAGCCAGCAGTTACCGTTGTTAAGCGAGGACTACCTGTAGTCAGAAGCTTGGAGGATCAGGCAATCCCTGCCTGTTCTTCTCCACGTTGCCTGGTTCACAGACAACATTTCTTGGAAACCCACGGCAGGGGATCCACGTTGTCAGCCTGAATGGTCCCAGCGGGTCAGGGAGGTGCTAGGAACATGGCACTCACCCCTTGTTCTCTTCCAGGTGTGTGCCTATGGGCCTGGACTGAAGGGCGGCTTTGTTGGGAAACCTGCCCCTTTCACCATCGACACCAAAGGGGCCGGGACAGGGGGACTGGGCTTGACCGTGGAGGGTCCCTGCGAAGCCAAGATCGAGTGCCAGGACAATGGGGACGGGTCCTGCTCCGTATCCTACTTGCCCACGGAGCCCGGTGAATACACCATTAACATCCTCTTTGCGGAGACTCACATCCCGGGATCGCCCTTCAAGGCCGACATCAAGCCTGTCTTCGACCCTTCCAAGGTGACGGCCAGCGGGCCTGGTCTGGAGCGGGGCAAGGTGGGCGAGGTGGCCACATTCACAGTGGACTGCTCCAAAGCGGGCGACGCCGAGCTGACCATTGAGATCATCTCCGATTCGGGGGTCAAAGCTGAGGTGCTCATCCAGAACAACAGCGATGGCACATACAGTATCACCTACATTCCTTCCTTCCCGGGCACCTATACCATCACCATTAAATATGGCGGGCATCATGTACCCAAATTCCCAGCACGGGTCAACGTGGATCCTGCCGTGGACACCAGCAACGTCAAGGTCTTTGGGCCCGGAGTGGAACCTCGAGGTACGTTGGGGAGAGCGGAACAGCGGCCATCTTACTTTTGCATGGCAAAGGGGCAGAGTCCCAAGGTGGGGGAAAATGTTATAATATTAATAACAAACTATGCAGATGTTAACCTCAGGAAAGGTATTCTTTAGGGCAGTGTTGAAGTCCACTCATCTTAAAGTGGCCAAGTTTGGACAACACTGCTTTAGGGGTAACTACTAGCTAGAAATTAAACTGCAGATCTATTTGGAATATTGAAGCTGCAGTTGAGTCCCAGCTGCCTATGAAACTGACAACTGCAAGGTTTGGCTGTATCAACAGAAAGAAGGTTTCCCCATCATGGGGGGTTCCGTGCTATTCTGCATGGATCAGACCCCACCTCGAGGCCTGGGACCCCCCAGGAGGGTTTGGAGAATTGGAAGAGATCCAGACTAGAAACTAAGTCCTGTGAAGGGAGCTAGAAGGAGCCTTGGAGAAATAAGATGGAGAAGAGGTTAAACTCTCCTCGGAGGCTCCAAAGGATGCCAAGACCCGCTCTCTTGCGTTCCAGAGGACGGGACGGGAAAAGTTTAGGCACAGGAGGGCAGATTGTGACAGAAACGTGGGAGAAACTTCCCAACAGTAAGAGCAGATGGACAGTGGAACATATAACCCTGTGAGACTGCGGGCTCCCCTTCACTGTAGGTCCTCAGGTGGAAAACAGACAACCATCTCTCTCTTTAATTTACGCTCCTGCCCTGAGCAAAGGGCAGGGCTGCGTGGCCTCTGGGACCCCTTCCAATCCATGGCTTTTGAGACTCTACAATTTCAGAGACCCAGAAACACTTCTTTACAGCACGATCTTCTTCATTCCTCTTTTTTGACGGGTACCGTGGACTGCCACGCGGCATTCTCCCCATTTTTGATTTTTTAAAAATGAAGGATCCAATTATATCGGAGAGGTTTACATCTAGGACTCCTTGTCGTCCTCTTTTAGGAGAAAAACAGATTTCTGGACCCACCTGGGAATATGGGCTTGAATTCTGGGTTCCTATGGCATTTCCTGAGGGCCCCCAGGGCGATGCGAGAGGCGTTTGCAGTATTGCTAAATCGTTTTCCTTTTCTCCCCAGGAGTGTTGCGTGAGGTCACCACGGAGTTCACAGTGGACGCTCGCTCTCTCACCAAAACTGGGGGCACCCACATCAAGGTGCGGGTCATTAACCCCTCAGGGGCCAAGACGGACACCTATATCACCGACAATGGCGATGGCACATACCGAGTCCAGTACACTCCCTTTGAAGATGGTGAGGCTCCCCTTATGCGCTCCTACTACCTCTGTTCTGCTCCCTCCTTGCTTTGATGCGCAGCGCTTCCCTGCTCCCTTTCACGAAATGGGAAGTAAAATTAGGAACCGGGCGCTTCTAGTTGCCCCAAAAGTCCCTAACCAGAATTCTGCAAGCCGAATGTATTCTGCAAAGTGAGTTTGTTTATCTTCGCTCCTTTGCAACCTTCAGGCAGCTCCGGGCAACCTGGTCTCGGAGAAACCCCAGTCAAACCGCGGGTTTCTCCAAATGCTTTCGTGCCTATTTTCGGTCTTGAGGGCTAGCAGCTTGAAGAAAG